AGGGAGACAAAGTATTAATCATGCAACTATGATCTACAAACGATATATCAGTCAGCTAATTCAGGTCATAAGACCTTACTCTTTATTCCAGGAGGATAAGGGGCATGCTTGTTTGCAGCACTTATGGTTTTATTTCATCCACACGTCAAATAAGCTTCTTTGCAACTACACACCTCGAACTAAATGCGATAGATATGTACAGCAGCTCGTTCATGGAAAGGAGTCCCATCCTCTCTGCCTCCTGGACCCCCCTTAATAATCACCTCTGCAAAAGTCCCTCCTCCGGATCCCTTTGCAAGATGCCCAGGATTAATGCACACAGGCTGAAACATTGAACCGTTTTCTTTGGCAACTTCAGCCGCCACTGCTTGTGCTGCTGCTGGCACGGGTGGCGGTGCAGGTGGTGAGGCTGCTGCTGCTGCTGTTGCTGGTGACGCTTCTTCTGGTTTGGTCGCTTGAGCTCCAGCTTGTGTTGTTGCAGCAGTTGGGAGACCCGAATCCACATCACCTACTTGCTGCTGCTGCTGCTGCTGCTGTTGTGGTGGTTGTTGCATGGGCAAAACCTGCAGACAAAACAAACAAGATGAAATGGGCACGGATGCATAGTGAGGGGAAGTGAGGAGTGAAAGGGAGGTGAGGGGTGAAGGGGAGGTGAGGGGTGAAGGAGAGGTGAGGGTTGAAGGGAGGTGAGGGGTGAAGGGAGGTGAGGGGTGAAGGGAGGTGAGGGTTGAAGAAAAGGTGCAAGGCTTCAGGGCAGAATTAGAGATTGAGGCAGGTAGCAGCCAGACAGAGCGGAGGACAGGAAGGGGTTTGCATGTTTTTTAAAATTATCAGAAATAAACCTGCAGACTTGGTTCGGCAGTAGAGGTGAGAGGAAGGGATGGGGTTTGAGAAAGAAGTTGGCAACTTGGTTTAGGAAAGACAGCTCACCTTGACAAAGGGGACGAAGTCGGATGGGAGGAAGAGGAGGTGAGGAGTAAACAGGAGGTCCAGGGCTTGAGGGCAGCAGGAGAGGTCGAGGTAGGTGGCAGGAGGGGAAGAAGGGGGTTGTTGAAGGAGACAAGAGGGCGGGATGCGGGTTGTGAAGAGGGAGGGCTCACCTTGACAAAGGGGACGAGGTCAGATGGGAGGAAGAAGAGGTGAGGAGCAAACGGGAGGTCCAAGGCTTGGGGCAAGCAGGAGAGGTCGAGACAGGGGGAAGAGTTTAGGGAAGAAGAGTGAGACATTACCTTGACAAAAGGGACAAGATCGGACGGTAGGAAGAGGAGGTGAGGAGCGAATGGGAGGTCCAAGGCTTGAGGACAGCAGGAGAGGTCGAGGCAGGTGGCAGGGGGGGGAGGGAAGAGCGGGTAGAAGCTCCTCTGGCCAATCACGTGCGCCGCCAGCCTGGACATGCGGTCTGACGTGGCGCTGTCTCCCGGTGCCACGCGGGCGATCTCCTCCTTGCTGAGGTGGCGGAGAATGTCGGTGGACGAACAGGCTATCCCAACCTGGCAGGGAAGAGTGGACAGAAGGGATGGGGAAAGAGGAGAGGGGGGTGACGGGAGGGAGAACACAACTGGCGACCTCCTCCTTGCTGAGGTGGCGAAGGATGTCGGTGGAAGAGCAGGCTATGCCAACCTGGCAAGTGCAAGGCGGAGGGAAGGGGCGGGGGGAAGGGGCGGGAGAGGGGGTGAGGGAAAGTAGAGGTGGGGAAGAGCGGGCGGAAAAGGGCAGTGCGGCAAGAGCAAGGGGACAATGGGCGATCTCCTCCTTGCTGAGGCGAAGGATGTCGGTAGAGGAGCAGGCTATGCCAACCTGGCAAGTGCAAGGCGGAGAGAAGGGGAGGAGATTGTAGTATTGTCAGGAATTTAAGAATCGGGCCGAGATAGGAGAAATCGAAGAATCAAGGGCTCAGAAGTGAAACTCTCGAGAAATCGTCTTGACGGACTGAGATTTGGATGACAATAAGGCATGCCTTATAGCTCACAGCACCCTCAAACCACAATACGTTGATTCAATGCTGAATAGTGTGCGCAATAGAAACGGTGTAGATTGACTAGAGGGATGAGAGCATGAGCAACACGGCAAGGCAGCATCTACCTGGTTATCCAGAGTGAATGCAGAGGGGTTCCCAAGCATCAGAACCTGCTTTCGGGGGTCTTCAAAGTCAGATGAGTCAAAAGGAGGCTGCTCACGCGCAGAGAGGGCGAAAGAGACGGAAGGGATGAAAAGAAATCAAGGCCCTACCCAGACTAGCGGAGAGGTATGGCTGATTCTTGAGCGGCCTCAAATGCCCCATGTGCAAGGTGCTGCTGCTGAGAGGCATGGCTAAAGAATCGATTTTTTAGTCGGCTCAAGAATATGTGTCATGGCCATGCTTCTAACACTAACTTATAGAACAGGGGAACGTTTCCAGGCGACTAAAAAATAGGTAAAAGCATGGCCAAGAAGCAACAAACACTTGAGAGTGCACCTGAGTGGATTCCCGAAGCATGGGCCTGGGTGGGTGGTGTGCACAACAGGATGCACAAAGAGGCACCTGAAAAGTCACCTGAAGAGGCACCTGAGACTATGTATGTCTCCAAACGAGGAATTCAATCTGCGGGCTCTGTCAATAAAAAAATCACCTGAGGAAAGATCATGGCGTGGTGAGCATCTCTCAACGACGGCAGCAGCAGCACCTTGCAGGTGCCTCCTGCGCGCTCACAATACTCCTCCACCTGAGAGGGGTGGGGCAGGAGCAGGGGATACAGGGGCGAAAGAGAAACAAGGAGGAGCATAGGAGGAAAAGAGTGTCCTGAGAGGCACGTGCGGTGGGCGTCTCTCAGGAACGGCAGCAGCAGCACCTTGCAGGTGCCTCCTGCGCGCTCACAATACTCCTCCACCTAAGAAGGGGAGGGGGGGGGGAAGAGAAAAGCCGGGATATAGGGCACCTTGGCTTGGTGTGCGCAGCTGCAGCAGCAGAACCTTGCAGGTGCCTCCTGCGCGCTCACAATACTCCTCCACCTGAGGGGAAGAAAGGGTGAGAAAACAAAACATCTGGGGTGAACGTCGGGTGATGGTAATCGTGGGGAGACCCTGATGCTAGTGGTGGGGAGATGGTAACGGTCTGATCTGATCAACATAGCCGTTTTTTTCCTCCCATCTCCCAGTCAACCTCTCCCCTTCCCACCTTCGATACCTTGCCCCAGCTTTCCCTCCCCATCACCTGTGCTGCTGAAGAGTGTTCCACACAGCCCCTTAGATTGAATCAATGCAGGATGCTGTCAGTCAGTCAGTCCCTCATAGCATGCATGCCCTCAGCTACAAAAGCTCCCCACCTCCTTCCCCCTCCGTTTCCACTCCTCACGTGTGCGCAGATGTGCTGCTGAAGGAGTGCTACATAGGAGTGACTCTGGTAAGCACAGCCCCAAGAGTCAACACAGACTCATAGCATGCATGCCCCCATCTACACAAGCCCTCACGCTGAACCCCTCCAATCCTATCTCTTCCCCCACTCTTCGCCCCCTCTCACCTGTGCGCGGATGTGCTGCTGAAAGAGCGCCTCATAGGACTGGTCTAAGCACAGCCATCCCCTCTTCCCCTTGATCTGTCCCCCTTTGCCCCTCTGTCTCCCCCTCCTCACCTCCACGCGGATGTGCTGCTGGAAGAGCGCCTCATACGTCTGCTCTACACACCCGTCCCGCGCATCAGGGTACTCACAGCATGCCCCTCAGCCATAGAACTCCCCCTCTTTCCTTGCCCTTTCCCCTGCCATTCCCCTCCAGTCACCTGTGAGCGGATGTGCTGCTGAAAGAGCGCCTCATCTCTATGGTCAACACAGCCGTAGATTTGGTCTACGCAGCCGTACCGCGCATCGGGATGCTCACAGTATTCTACCCTCTGTCACAGAGCCCCCCCTTTCGCCTTTTTCGCCCCCCCCTCTGTCACGGAGCCCCTTTTCGCGTTCCCCCTCCCCTCACCTGCGTGCGGAGGTGCTGCTGAAAGAGCGCTTCATAGGTCTGGTCTGGTCCGCACAGCCGTCCCCTCTTCCCCTTGATCTGTCCCCCTTTGCCCCTGCCCTCCAACCCCAATCACCTGTGTGCGGATGTGCTGCTGAAAGAGCGCCTCATAGGTGTGGTCAACTCAGCCGTCCCTTGTATCAGGGTACTCGCAGCATGCCCCTCAACCATAGAAGCCCTCCCTCCCCCGGGTCTTCCATTCCTCACCTGTGCGCGGATGTGCTGCTGAAAGGGAGTCTCATAAGTCTGGTCCACACAGCCCCTTAATCTAGCCTCATAGCATGCCCTCAGGCACAGGAACCCCCCCTTTACCCCAATACCCATTCCCCCCAATCAACTGATGTGCTGCTAAAAGAGCGCCTCATAGGTCTCATCTGCTCCGCACAACCCCTTGAACAAGCCTCATATCGCGCCCTCAGCCATAGAAAGAACCGCCCCTCCCCCCCTCACCCACCCCACACACTTTCCCCTCCTCACCCCTCCCCACCACACACTTCCCCTCCTCACCCCCTCCCCAACACACACTTCCCCTCCTCACCCCCTCTCACTTGTGTGCAGATGTGCTGCTGAAAGAGCGCCCCATAGGTCTGATAAACAGAGCCGTCTTGCACATCAGGATGCTCTCAGCCATAGAGCCCCTCCCGCCCCCCACTCTTCCACTCCTCACCTGCGAGAGGATGTGCTGCTGAAAGAGCGCCCCATAGGTCTGCTCCACACAGCCCCTTGAACAAGCCTCATATCACGCCCTCCGCCATAGAAACTGCCCCTCCCCAACACACACTTCCCCTCCTCACCCCTTTGAGAATACTCAAAAGAAATATCCTTTCTCATTTCCTTTGAGAATTCTCAAAAGAAATATCCTTTCTCATTTCCTTTGAGAATTCTCAAAAGAAATATCCTTTCTCATTTCCTTTGAGAATTCTCAAAAGAAATATCCTTTCTCATTTCCTTTGAGAATTCTCAAAAGAAATATCCTTTCTCATTTCCTTTGAGAATTCTCAAAAGAAATATCCTTTCTCATTTCCTTTGCCCTCTCACCTGTGCGCGGATGTGCTGCTGAAAGAGCGCCTCATATGTCTGGTCAACACAGCCGTCCCGCGCATCAGGATGCTCTCGATCGATGAAGGGACCGATCTGACCATAGGATGGGGAGAGGCGGAATGGGGAAAGGAAGGCGGAGAGGCGGGGAAGAGGGGAATGGGGTGGGGGGTGGGGGGGGGGGGGGGGGGGGGGAGGAATTGGCATAGAGAATCAAAGAAAGGCAATCGGAAGTGAAATTGGGCCTGATATGCCTGATCCACACAGCAGTGTAGATGCGTAGCTGCGTAATTCTGTAAGCTTGTAAATGTGGATTCATGCGTGAATGCATAAATCCATAACATCAGCGCATGTCTGCATAAACGATACGGGCATAGATACATATGCGCACATACGCACATACGCATGTGGACAAGGACACATGCGCATACGAGCCAGCAAAGAAGCATAGCAGCATTGCAGCATAGCAGCAATGCAGTTGCAATATAGTGGCACATCCAGTGGTCACCAATGCGAATCAGATGAGATCCTTCAACGGCTCGAATGACCATGAGTCAACATACCAGCATGGCAGCATACCGGAATGGCAGCACCCCAGCACGCTAGCAGCAAGAGAAGCAGGTGATGTGAGGCCGCGACATACTAACCAGCAGCAGCACATCCGGTGGTCGCTGCAGTGCGAATCTGAAGAGGTCTTTCAGCGGGTCGAAGGACCATGAGTCAACATGCCAGTATGCCAGCACACCAGCATGCCAGTAGCAAGGAAACAGCAGGCAACGGCAGGCTAAAGTACCAGCAGCAGCACATCCGGTGGTCGCTGCAGTGCGAATCTGATGAGGTCTTTGAGCGGGTCGAATGACCATGAGTCAATCGTTGTGAAGGGGCCTGCAGCCGCGATCTGATCACAGAGGAAAAAGAAGCAAAACAAACAAACAGAACGAAACAAAGGTGGGGGGAGGGAGAGAGAGAAATTGTGGTGGGCAACAGACCAGGAAACATGATATCAAACACCGTACATAAACATCATGGAGCAGAAACAGATACTCAAACTTGAAAATGCGATAGAGAAGGTTCAGGGAGAGTTTTGAGTGACTCAAAAAACGCTACGGACCAGGAGACATGATATTAAACACAGAGAATGTGGTGGCAAACGGCAGGCACCAAACATGAAAGAAGATGGAGAAAAAAAAAAATAAAAAAAAAAAAAAACAGGAGGAACACAAATTCTAAAAAACATGAAAATGCAATTCAGGAGGTTCAGGAGGAGAATTGGAAGCCAGCGCGGTTGCTGCTGCAGCAGAGGGAGGTCAGAAAGCCCTTGACTGACTCGAGGATGTGAGAGATGTTGTTGCGCTTGCACACACTATTAGCAATGCAGTGACATGCAGCTTATGGGAGCCTCAGATCAGAATGAGACGCGTTTTGGGGCACCTCAAAACCTGGCTTCAGAAAGTCAGTGAGACATGACGTTTAACACACCAACTTCCTGACAGTCAGTCAGTCCAGACGCGCCGGCGACCGGAGGATGAGCGAGACAGGAAGGAAGGAGGGAGTGAATGAGGATCTTCACGTAGTAAGACACATGAGGGAGCAGGGCCAGAGAACTCACAATCCTGACCTCATCGTCGTCTGACTGAGTCGACTCAATGAAAACAAGGTGGCTGTTGAGTCGACTCAATAGTAACTTTGTCACGAGCACAAGACACATGAGGGAGCAGGGCCAGCGAACTCACAATCCTAATCTCATCGCCGTCCTCCTCCTCCTCTTCCTCATTACCCTCGGCCTTTACAACTGCAGCACCGCTCTCCACCGCTCTGACTCCTCCTGTATCCATCCCCTCAGTCCCAGCTTCCTCCTTCTCTTGCACCTCAGCAGCACCACCATCAGAAGCCGTGGCACCACCAGCAGCAGCATCACCAGCAGAACCATCACCATCACCACCACCAGCATCACCATCCACCTTCCCCTCTGTCCCTTTCTCCATTCCACCCTCCCCATCTCTACCACCATCGCCACCAGCAGCACCACCATCTGCATCCCCACCATCACCAGAAGAGTTCTTATCAGCATCACCCTCAACCTTAACCTCCTTCTTCTCCTCCCCCCCCACCTCCCTTTTCGCCTTCCCACCCTCCACCTCCTCCTCTATATCAGCACCCACCTTCTCCGCAGCTTCCCCACCTTCACAGCTCGCCTCCCCCTCACCCTCCCCATCGTTCCTCCTCATCTCCTCTATCTCATCTAGTGCTATAATCTCTTCAAGCCCAAATGGAAGGAAATTCGCCTTCCCCCGCCCATCACCCTTCTCCTTCCCCTTCCCTTCCCCTTCCCCCTTGCCTGTCGTTGCACCCTTTCCCTTCTCTGCCTTCACTCTCGCCCCTCCCTTCTCTCCACTCCCTTCCTCTCCCCCTTTCACTCCCCCCTCTTCCCCTCTCCCTTCCGCCTCCTTCCCTCCTTTCCTCCTCCTCCCCTCCCCTCCCGTTTTCGCCCGCTTCGGCCGCCGCCGAGCCTGCGCACCCGAGCCTGCCAGGCTCGGCACGGGGTGGTACGGCAGGGCAGCAACGATCCGCTTAGCAACGAGGCAGTAGCCGCTGGGGTTGCTGCCTTCAACGGCCAGGATCTGCCCTGGGAAGAGCGAGAAGGACGGCAGATGGCGCAAGTCCAGACGGACCCTCACACCCTGACAGGGGTCGATGCTGTCGGGTGCAGTGGTGGGGTTAATGAGGGTAATGAGGGGAAACGGGGTATTGAGGGTAATGAGGGAAAATGGGACTTGAGAAGGTGGATAGGAGGGGAAGGCGAAGCAACCCTCACGCCACGCCCTGACAGGGGTCAATGCTGTGGGGTGCGGTGGTGGGGTTAATGAGGGTAATGAGGGGAAAGGGGGACTTGAATAGGTGGATAGCAGAGGAGTGTGAGGGTATGAGGAGCAAGTTCAGACGCATCCTCACGCCACGCCCTGACCGGGGGCGATGCTGTGGGGTGGGCCGGCGTGGTGCGAGAGCAGGAGTGGGAGTGAGTTGCTGCCTTGAACGGAAAGGAAATGCCCTGCAAGGAGCGAGAAGGATGGCACGTGGCACATGGTATGGTGCAATCCCAGACGCACGCACGCACGCACGCACGCTCTCGTGGCTCCCACGGTCCCACCCCACCCGCACCTCCCCCAACAAGCAAGCACACTCAGCATCCTTCCAGGCGCTGTTGCCGCCTCTGCAATAAACGCTTCAACCAACATACATGGCTTCCCCCCTTGCGAGCACAACCCCCCTCCTTACAAGCACTCACCACCCTTCCAGGAGCACTGAGGACTCGTTGAGGCGTGCTGTTGCCGCCTCTGCATCGCACACGACACGACCCACCGCCATCACACTAGTCTGAGAGGGGTAAAGGCAGGTGGGGAGGGCGGGGGGAAGGGGAGGGTGTGGGGGGGAGACGATAAGGGGGTGTGAGGTGGTTGTATATACTAAATCAGATTGCAAAGGCCATCACACCGGTCTGAGGGGGGAGTGCTGGGGGGATGAGGTGGGGAGATCAGGTAGAGAAAGAGGAGGGGGGAGGAGGATGGGGGGGGTGGGGGGGGGCAGCCGTGGAGGGGAGAGAGGGGGAGGAATGAGATGGAGCCAGGTGGTTACGTTGAAACGATTTCACCTGAGACGATCCCACCTGAAACGACTCCATCTAAGAAGATCTCACCTGAACAATCTAACCTGAGAAGATCTCACTGATGTAATCTCACTTGAGACAATCTCACCTGATATGATCCCACCACATACGATCTCAACAAATACGATCTCACCAGATACGATCTCACCTGAGAGGCCATCAGGGTTTGCGTAGCGGGGTCGAACGTCGGATCCGCCCGAGCAAGGGCCGCGATGAACCGTTGATTTCGCCGCTCCAGCTCATTGGCCTGCCAAATCCACGGCGGAGATGAACGAAGCGTGGTCCTTGAGTGAAACGTAAAACTTCCTTGACCAAGACTCAGATCGGAGGACACTCTAAAAATGTCAGGGATCGGATTGTACGGAAACATGACAGATCGGAACGCACTCTGTCTTCCGTACGGTCGCACATGTAACGGGCGTCGCGCGGAACCTCTGCGCTCGCTACAGTCACATCGCAGAGTCTGATTGGCGCTGGGAAGTCCGATTCATCGTGACCGTCCGTGGCTTTCCACGGTGGAGCCAATCGGGGATTCCACGACGTGACGGTCGTCAGGCTGTTGCCTCGCGCCTTATAATGCATTGCTGCCATTCCTTCAGTCAATATTGAATAGCTAAAAATCTGTTAAAAAAAGGCTGATAGTGACACGGAATTACAAGTCGGGAGAACGGTGATGAGGATTGTGTCTCGCGACTTCCGTCAGCAGGTATGTGACGGAGGCAAAAATTCACTTAACCGAATCGACCAAAGTGGTAACCCGACTCGAGCGCTATGAGTTGCTTGGTAGCGCTATGAGCGCTATGGGGCTGCGGGGAGTTCGAAGGAGCTGCTTGTGCTGTGGCTGGCAGCAACGTACTCGTTGCCAATTCTTCGCCGATCCATTATAAAACCCAATTTGCTAAGAGCTAACTGTTTCCCCAGCATAATGTGTAAGTCAGTAGTAAATGTAACACCCCCATCAACATTTACATCCGCAATCCCTAAGACTATTAAATCTCATAAACCAAATGAAACTAACAAATGATCCATGGATCTATATACAAATGATGTAGCGCATACAGATTTAGACCTATCAAAGAGAACAGAGTAAATCACCTGCATATGCTTTTTCAGGTCCACCACTCTACGACCACGCCGAAAATTTACTTGCATAAACCTTCCCCACTCCAGGCAGTTCAATGTTGCCTTTCTCAGCCCGCACCTTGACACACCCATCAGCGTTGAAAAACAATAACGACTTCAGGTTTGTAAGGTCCTCCGGAAGAGCCCCAGCTCCTTGCAATCCTGCAGGTCAAGATTCTTGAGCCTGGAGAACCTTGAAAAGTCTGAGGGCAGCAAGCGGATGCCACTCTCGCTAGCTTTCAAAGAAAACAGGCAAGAGAGCTGCGTGAGAGACAAGGGGAGTGATGTGAGAGATGAGCATTGAGACACATCCAGTTTTCTCAACCTTGATAACACTCCAATCTGTTCCGGAAGGCAGGCCAGCTTCTGAGCACGAACGCATAAGCTTGTCAGCGACTGTAACTTGGTAACTGAATCTGGAAGATCAGTCAACTCGACAGCACGGTGTATGATGAGCGATCGTAGGTGCTGCAAGGTGGATCCAATGTCCTCAGGAAGCTTCCTCATGCTTCCAGCATCCTGAATTGTCAAGCTCCGGAGGTTAGGAAAAAGAAATATAGAAAAGGGCAACTCTGTTGAACCGTCTGACACGTCAACCTCCAAACGCTTCAAATTAGTGAGGCTTATGCTTGCAGCTGACCCATCTGCAGCACTGACGATCCCCAAGGTTAGCCTTTTCAGCTTCAGCAGCATCGAGACATCTGGCAGCTGGATGCTCTGCTCCTCATTCTGTAAAGTCAAGGCCTCAAGCGAGCCTGGCAAACTTGCTGGGGCTTCTGTTAACTGGCTGCACCGCCTCAGCTCCAACTTTTTCAACCTGGAAAGCCTGTCTAAATTCTTGGGAACAGAATCGAGGCTGCAACAGTCACAAATGATCAAAGTCTCAAGGCTTATGCACGAAGAGATTGACTCTGGGAACTCTCTGAGGTTAGGGCAGGAATGGATGTACACTTCTTGCAGCTTGATTAAGTTGCCCATGCCCTTTGGAATCTCCGATCCTGAGCACGAGTCCAGTTCCAGCCTTGTTAGGGATGATAGCTGGGAGAATGAAGGAGGTAAAACACTCGGCGTCATGCGATTGGTGTGGAGAAGAAATGTTTGAAGGTTGGTCAGCCGTCCAATATCGTCTGGAAGACTCAAATTCGGCATGCTCATGAAGCACAACGTCTTGAGGCCTGTCAGTTGAGTGAACCGGCTTGGTAACTCACGTAACTGTTGACAGCGGCTCAGAATCAACATTTTCAGGGAGGTGAGCTGATGGAATGTTGCAGGGAGAGCTGAAAGTGGCAGAGATTGCAGCACCAGCGTTTCCAGAGCGAGAAGCTTGCCGAGGTTTTCAGGCAGGGGCTCGTTGCATGCACTGATTGTCAAGCTATGTAAGCAGCTGAGGGCGGTAAGCTGATCTGGCAGAGGAGATTGGAAACTTCTCCATGTGACACTCAGTTCCTGTAGGGATGGCAGTAAATCTCCGATTTCGTCTGGAAAGCTCAAGGAGCTGCAAAACGCCAAAAAAAGCCGTTTCAGGCGGATGCAGTGAGATTCTGCTGGAAACATCAGGTTGAAAGGTATAGCGCAGTTATAAACCCTCAGCGTCTCAAGAAATTGCAGCTGCGCAAAGGAGAAGGAGTCAGTGGGCGTCGCTTCTGAGCTGAAGGAGACAACAGGCAGGGTGAGGCTGGTGAGGTTGGTGAGGTGAACAAGGCTGGAAAGTTGGTGGAAGTCCACATTAGCAGCATGCATTCGAAGAGATGCGAGAGAAGATAAACCCATCAGCTCTGGAGCTTCTAGGAGAGAACAATTTTCCAGCATCAGGGAACGCAGACGGGACAGCTGGAAGAACGAAGTCGGTAGGTCGACGTTTCCATGCATGCAATAGAGCGACAGATGCTGCAGTAGACTGCAGTTACGGAAAAAATGATCCAAACCAGCTTCCGTCAACGGTTTCGCACCTCTCTGGTCGAGGTGCTTGCGTGGTATGATCTCGAACCCCACGTATAGAGCTGTCAGCTTACGGCATGAGGAAGCCAGGTGCGCAAGAAACGCATCGTTGATACTTTCCACGCTGGCCTCGCTGAGGTGAAGATACGTGAGATTCGGAAACAGGCTGATAACGCGGTCACACACTCTGACTTGGTTCCCCGTGTGTGGTATTTTCTCTCAATTTTGAGGTGTCTCGAAAAGCGAGGGTCCACACACTGACTTGATTCCCCGTCCGATTCTCTGAGGTCCCCACACCCTGGCAAATGCTTATGCAAGCACTCACCTTGCGTTCCTTGGGTGGAGGCGAGGGGGGCTCTGTAACAATGTGCGTACCCTTCTATAGTCATTTTCATTGTGCCAAGCGTGTTCTAACCATTGCATGCTATGTGGCACTCGCTCGCCCTGGTTGCAGGCAGAGTTGCTGCTAGTCGATTCAATGCTGATATCTAGTAGAAAAGGTTATCCTGCCATTCCCGTTAACATCATGTCAGGTTCGACCGAGCATGGAACGTGGGTGGTGCGCTCACTCCAGGAGCTCCAGGGCGCTTACCCCGATAACTCCAAGAAGATTGTATATGTGTTGCCAGAAGATTGGGGGGGAGAGGAGGGGGGGAGGGGTGTTTGTAGGGCCACTCCAGAGTGACCACATGGCTCCGGCAGTGAAGGCAGGGTTGGGTGTTGGCTTGGCACGGGTTCATCTCAGAGTGACATCCCTCTGTTGTTGGACAGCACATATGGGCGCAGTAAAGTATCGATTATAGAACATATATGTTTAAACTCGTACACACATGGGCCCCTTATTATCAAAACTCCCATCCTTATATAAGAATCTACCCTAATCAAAGGCACCCCTGTCTTCAATTCTACAGTACGGTATCTTCATCCAGGTATTGATGGGTATTCGTATGTGCTACGTGGAAAAGCACTCTATGGGCAGCCCAGGCATTCTGTTGATGCTATGAGGAATTACTGAGCCATCAGGGCCGATCACATGAGCACATTCCTGCACATTCAGATACTGCAGCATTTTCAGCTCTGTCAGATCCTCTGGCAACGCTTGCAAGTTCTTACAACCTGACAAATAGAGGCTCTTGAGTCGGGTAAGCCGCGGAAAGTTGGAAGGAAGGAAGCGAATCCTCCTGCCGTTGTAGATTGACAGCTCACTCAGGCAGGACACCTGGGTGAGGGAATCAGGCAGGCAATCCAATTCGTAGCATCTGCATAAGCGTAGCTCCCGCAGCTTTGATAAGCCTCCGATGCCATGAGGAAGAGAGGAGAGTGTGAAGGCAGCCTCAACCTTGAACGAGGTCAGATGCTGAAGCTCAGTAATGCTAGCTGGCAGCTCTCTCAACTGATAAGCATCCATAATTTTCAGCATTCGCAGCTGCGGTAGTGCTGAACCCATATCTTCTGGCAGACTCTTGAGATTGCCACAGCGGAGAAAAATCAGCGTGCGTAGGTCAGAGAGAGGTGTCAAGGCGAATGGAAGCTCCTCAGCATTATATGCCAGTGATAACTCAAGATGTCGCAGGAGGGATAGTCTGCTGCTGAATGTGGGTCCACATTCCACCTTCTGCAAGCTAAGCTTCCATAGCCTACTCGGTCCAAAGACGTCTGGAAGAAACGTGTTGTGGTCGTTGCTTCCCAGGCTCAGGATCTCAAGCGAAGCTGGCAGAACATTGCAAGGAAATGTGTGCATGTTCCATGACGTTATCCTGAGCCGTTTCAGCCGTGCGAGACTCCCTAGGTTGCTCGGTATGGAAAACAGGTCTGTGCAGTCAGCGAATGTAAGAATCTCAAGGCCTGTCAGAGATGTCACAGATTCAGGAATCGCCCTAAGTCCAGAGCAGGACGATATGTGCAGCTCTCGAAGGCTCTGCAGCTGTCCTAGGCCCTCAGGCAGCTCGTCAATATGACAGGAGGTTAGTTCTAGCCGAGTCAGCACAGGAAGGCCTGTTAACGAGGCTAGGAAAGGTTGCGGAGGGCAGCTTTTTACAAAAAGGGTGTGGAGGTGAGTGAGGCGGTCAATGTCCTTTGGAAGTGCCACGTTCTCTATGC